AATTCAACGCACTTGAGCACTTTTTCTTGTACGAGGACATTTGTATTTGACTTCAAAATCTAATAGGAATTTGTATATATAATTTATCTTTACTTTAGTGGACTGTCTCGCAACGGAAGTCTTCGTGTTTAGAATTTTAGCTAACCATAGGGACAATTCCCACTGTCGCGCAATTTTCACGTGCGTAAACACGAAAATTTTGCCGCGTTTAAAAATCATAATAGGGGCAATGTATGAAAGGCTGCTCGTAAACTTTAAAGTTGAGCGAGGTTCAACTTTTACGTTTACGCGTGACCATCCATACATTGCCTCTATTTTACCAATCACGCTCGTAAAATTTATGTGCGCACGCACCTGAAAATTACTTGACAGTGGAAATCCACTCTCAGTGTCGATTCCGCAAATGGTGACTGCGTTCTGCCTAAGATACTTTCTTTAGCAACACCAAAGGTTGGCTTTGCTCTTCAATGCTATTATTTATTGCGTTTTGAACTCGTTTTGAACTCGTCGAGTGAATGTAGACAGTCCTCCGTGATCGGTTTGTGTTCATATTCTGTGATATATATATGATGTACACCTTTGTTAGTTCAATAACTTATATTTCTTCATCGTCGTTCGTTCTTACAGTCTTCATCACGTTCAAAGTAACCAGAGCACTGTTAACACTTCTGTTTCTTGTAAAAATGCTTAGGTGTTTTAAAACTTGTCTTTGCGCTAGAAGACGAGGTTGTATTTTTTAATGGTTGTTTAGTGTGTCCTTTTTGCCTAGTTGCCTTTTTTAAAGATATTTTCGCAGAAAAACCTTACTTCAGGACGGCGCTATTTTCTAAGCTTTTCACATGCGTCAGAAAGAAGATTCTTTTGCGCGCGGATCACGTGGAGGGCAGGGAACGCGGAGCGCGATAGGCGTATCTTTCATTTCGTGTTGGCAAGCCCCTTTCCTGCACTTCAGAATGTAGAAATTTCAATTTATTGTTGTAGCTTTCTTGTACTAGTATCGTATCTTTTAGCAAAACTCGGCCGCTCTTAGGGAATTTTCAATCATACTAGCCTGCTAGCAAGTTCTCCGGGTGCTCTGGCGGCGAGGCTCGCTCGCTGGCTACAATCATACAAACACTACCATTGGATATTCAAGTTGGATTGGACATTGGCTCTCTAACCCTTTAAGCTCCAAGAGTGATCAGCATCAACTTTCTCCTTGTAATATCAATGCTTTGTAAAACAGAGTGGTTATGAGAATTATGGACATGATCACACAAGATGAATTTGCTTGATATTTTATCAACTTCTCTCCACTACTTCTGTAGGAAATGAATAGGGGCAACAAATGAGAATCCAAATTTTGATCTTACGGTTTAAAGGGTTAAAGAGTCATATGGCAAAAAGGAGTAATAGGGTATGCTTAAACGTATTGTCAGAGGTTAAGGAGTTGATTAAGTAAACTATTCGAGATGCTTGGCGACTGCCATTGAAAGCAACAAATGTTCTACAAAAAACTGATTTACTTCTTATTTATCTGGAAGATGTCTCATAAATGTTTATTGCCATCTAAACGTACCAAATACAACGAACTCACCAACTGAATCAGCAGCGTTTGTTTTCTTTTCGTTTTGTATTTCCTTTTTCATTCAAGTTCTTAAATAATTTTTTGTTTTGATTACTAAGAGTAAACTTAAAAATTTCTTCGCCATTTCTGAGCTCATTTTCAACTGCTTTGCGCGTTTATTTTGTCTGCGGAACGACCCTTTCCTTGGCTGTTTGGTTTCCCCTTGCAAGTCAAGTAAAGTTCCCAAGGTCTGTAGTCGTTCTCTCGGCAGTGAACCACTGAAGTCTCAACAGTCGAGGCTTTTCGCCTCAGAAATTTGTTATTTCGATCTGTAAAAGGACGTAAAAGTTCTAACAGAAAGATGTCATGGCTGTGAAAAAGTCGAGAAAATTTCCCGGTTTTGTGAATGATTAATATTTAAAAGACAGTGCATTCAAAGCAGTTAAAAAGGAAGCTAAGTTCTAAACTTGTTAGTCAAGGAGCTTTTTTCTGAAAAGCTTTATTTAAAGAGTTGGTTCAACCCGCCCAACAGAAAAGGTCCAACACCAGATTTATATAGAAGAGAAACTGCGATTAAGACTCGCTCATGCAGGGGGTCAAGGTTCGTAACCAAGCAGTGAGTTCATACAGACCCAATTTTGTTGTCGCTTCCTCTTCAACGCTTGATCAGTGTTCATTTAATCATTTAAGTCAACAGAAGGGGCTGCCCTGGACTAAAAATTAGCATTAATGTCATTGTTTTTGACTTCTCCCTATTGGAGGCCTTTGTAGGCAAGCTGCGAGTTCTGTCAAAAGCCGGAACTGCTTGGCTAAACCATGAAATAATTTTCAGACAGCTTTAACGTAATGACACTGAAGCAATTATTCATGCAGAAACCGCTCTCTTTTCAAAACGCACCGAAGCTTGGTCTTCATCCTTTCCGCGTTGCGTAGTTGCCGCAAATACGCAATGCGCAAATATTGCTAATTTATGGAACCCAGGGAACATGAACACTGGCCATTTGTAGAACTGGATGGCTTCTCCGATTCAGGATTCGAAGATCTACTTTGTAAGTACAGCGGGTGATAATTTTTGACCGGGGTTGATTCACGGCAATTTACCTTATTGGCGAAATTTTACATGTCCCCTAACTCTTTGTTTACAAACTTAAGGCAGAAATGTTAAGTTGAATGTTTAGATCCGCAGATGGCGTGGTTTGTTTAGTTCTGTGGAACCCGCAGCTAAATTCACATGGTTCTATCTATTTTTATAAATTTGCAATATCTCCTTAGCATCAACTAGATTAAGAATCTTTTTTATTATCACTTTCTTCCGCAGATGGCGTGGTTTGTTTAGTTCTGTGGAACCCGCAGCTAAATTCACATGGTTCTATCTATTTTTATAAATTTGCAATATCTCCTTAGCATCAACTAGATTAAGAATCTTTTTTATTATCACTTTCCAACTATCAGGGCAAGTTCTTAGGTCTACCATTTTGCCCCATTTCTCTTTTATTTCTCATTTCTTTTTTGTAGCGGTTGAATTTGTGGAGAGAAAAATACTGTACTACTATCCGGGGGACTAAAGATAGACTTTTGCGCAAATCGGAATACCGTACTAAGTGTGAATGTTCTTTTTGAAATTGTCATCTGAGAGATATATTCCAAATTACCTAAACAAAAAGAGGTCACACTCGTGTTGGACAGTGTGTTGTGACATACACTTGGTTCAGTGGAACGCCTGATACAGTGTTACATGGCCGTAACAATTTCTTCCGATCGATGTTGTATTTTTGCATTCTAGTGAAATTAAACCCATGGGCTTTGTGAAAACTAATTAAAAACCAAACATTCAAACATTGACGTTTTTTTTTTTTATTGACAATAATTAATGTACACTAATGTTTGCGCGATTATGTACATTGCAGTCCATGTACGTGCGTAGAGACACGGTTTGCGTACTTCGACCGGCAGCCCAGCATATCACGATCACGATTTCGGTCAGCAGCGGGAGTTTCTCCTGAGAATATCATGGGTTTTTGGTAGCTGGACAATCTCTCCCAATACCGATCTAGAGCTAGGCGTGCCTACCCTAAAGAAATCATTGTAAAAGAATTTTCATCAAAGCGATGAGATTAAGTACAGCTGGAAGTGCTGACTTACTGGCCCTTTGGAAAGACCTTGTATGTCATATAAACTGCGAGCAGTCTCTTATTTTTCTTTGCAAAGTTACTAATCCCTTATTGTTATAATAACGTCGTGGTTTGCTGTCGCGCTGGATGAGATAAGAACTAAACAGATTTTAAGAGAAAAGGCGGACTGCAAGCAGTCTAATGTCATATTGATTTCAAAACGTTTCCTTTTTACTTTAGCTCATTTATGAGGTAGAAACTGACTAAATATTGTGGCTCCAGACTACTATGGGCTGCTTGATTTTCTGGTTTTAGCACCTTGATATTCTGATAGCGTTTAAGAGTCTCATGGAGTGAAAGCCCGCCAGAAAAGCATCTGTTTTAGGCACTGAGTTTACGTAGGTTCAAGTGCTACTCAGCTAGCCCCTGTAAGCGACAGAAAAGAATAGAAGAGAGTGTGGAAGAAGAAGAGGAAAAGGGTGATGATGATGATGATGTTGATAGTGAACCATGTGAATTAAGTAATGACTGTAATGACCACTTTACACAAACAATCATACTAAGTGAAATTTTCAGTTTCTTACATTTTATAAATTACAGCGACGTCAATGGAAGCTTTGTTAACCGATATCACTTCATTAAAAAAGTTCTTCCAGGGAGCAGTTTAAATCATATGGGATTGCTATAGAGCAGCAACGACGGCTCAAGCAACGCTTGCCACCCAGGCCCAAAAGAGCTTGTTTATCGAGTCCAAAAGTGAACTAAAAGCCTAGTCAGTCTGATCCAGGCATTTAGATAGTGTGGAATGTAGCGTTGAGGGACAGCACACCTTTGGAGCAGGCTTAGAGAAATGTGCGCCAGTTACAGTACTCAGTTCGATGTCCCAAACATCAAAACTGGGCTCCCTGTGTTCTTCCGAGATCATACTGGAACCTTCCCTCCCCTCCTGAGTAATTACATCATCACATGAAATTGAGGCACTTTCAGTGTGATGAATGTGAAGCGCGTGAACAAAATATTTGTAGCAGTTTTCACGCGTTTTCAACGGTTTGTTTGACTCGGTTTGTTATTTTGATCTCATGAAAACAATGCCGAAGTCTTAAACACTGCCTTTGAGCGAAGGAGATAGCGTAATAACCTTCCGGTGATTCGTAAGCTCATTAACATCGTGACAAGGGAGGTTACTTACCGGCATCTGTGAGATTTCAATGGTTTTTCCTTGATCGAACTTTGGATCGGTTCTGTTTCGGTTCTCGTGCTTTCCGCTGAAGACGGAGAAGCTGGCGGGGTTGGAAATTATCAAACAGTCCTCGTTTATACAACATGGGGGATCCACTTGCGTTATGGAGGAATGCGAAACGAAAGACAACTTTTGTGCGAACAGTGACGAGTGCAAAGATGGCAACTCGGTTGCTTCGGATATTGTCGAAGACAGAGATACTGGCTTTGTAGAAGAAACCCTGTCGAATTCAGATAATTTCGAGATTGAAAGCGGTGTGGAAAGTGCAACTGGAGATGTTACTGAGGCTGACTGGACGGAACTGGCTGAATTGTTAGATCTGAATTCGTATCTCACCGGCTCGGATGAAAGTTTACGTTTGGGCGACCTCGACTTGACCACCGAACAAGCACAAGAAACGCTGAAATATTTCAGTGAGTATTGCGATTTGATATATTTGATTTCAAATATTAATAATGTGAGAAAATTTATTGCTAAACGCTTGTTGTGTTGAAACAAAAAAGTCTTATACCAAATTCTTCAGTAAGACAACCTTTGTTTTGACGATTTTTAAGGCAAATGTTTAACCTTTATTTGTATATTTATAAAACCAGCGAACGGGTTCAACATTAAGCTTAGACAAGAAAAATAGTGAAAGGTCTTTTTCTTAATATTATATTGTGTCCTCCAAAATAATTTCAGTTCCTAATTGTTTCAAACAAAGAATTGAAATTGAAGTACAAAACATCTGTGCTTTGTAAGTTCTTTATTAGAAGCGGATTATTTCCTCTTTTGCTTATGTAACCGGCCGAAGTGTTTTTGATTGAATTGTAAACTTAAAGTTATCATTATGGAGGCATGCTCTTGATCTTGAATACTTTGACTTTTGATATTTTACATGTAAACTTCATATATGGTGCCAGTTATTGTTCACAAGACAAAGCTCCAGAAAATTTAGCGCTTTGTCTATTTATGCAATCTTTTGTTTTCTTAATTTGACTTGGATTAAGTTTATAAAGTTTTTTTTTGACATGTTTTGTTTATGAAAACTCATAAGCTCTCAACTATGATAATATTAAACCATTTTCGCATGAGTCCACTCTATAAATGTATACAAAGAACTTTACACAGGGGTCATTCCACAGTATTCCGTCTGTTGCGGAAGGGAAATTCAGAGACACTAATCATGTTGTAGTGTAATAAGTTTTTTTCATTTACTTCTGGATATTTAGGGAGTTTTTATGTCTTTTAGGGAGCTATCANTATATGATGCCAGTTATTTAATCGTGTTCACAAGACAAAGCTCCAGAAAATTTAGCGCTTTGTTTATTTACCCAATCTTTTGTTTACTTAATTTGACTTGGATTAAGTTTATAAAGTTTTTTTTTTGACATGTTTTGTTTATGAAAACTCATAAGCTCTCAGCAATGATAATATTAAACCATTTCCGCATGAGTCCACTCTATAAATGTACACAAAGAACTTTACACAGTTTATGTTGTGGGTAAAATTTCTTCTTATGTTTTAACCAGTATTCAACCCATTAAGGATTTAAGTTTTTGCTGGACAGTTCTTACCATGGTTCTGGTTTAACCCTTTAAGCCCCAAGATCCAAATACAAATTCCCCAGACTGATCTCCATACATTTCTTTAAAGAATAGTTGAGAGAATTTGGTTTAAGATCAAAGAGTTCTCCCCTTGGTGATCAATTTAGAAATTCTCATAACCTTTACTCTTAATGATCTGCTGTTGTTGTTAGGAGAAAATTGATGTTGGTCACTCTTGGGGCCTAAAGGGTTAAAAAGTACCTAAAACTTTTACATGTATCCACGGCAGAACAATATTTATCTTTTGACAAACTTCTCCGCTCTTCTATTATACTGTCTCTATAGACATCCATTTATGATTTTTCATGTATTGAGGAAAGCGGTCTGAAATGCATCAGTTTTATGGATGTCTGTGGGCATGACCTCTAACATCAATAACGCAGGCTTTTAAGTCTCCCAGTGTGAGTTTAACATGGGATTTTCCACTGATTAGCTAGCTCATACAGTCTAGTCAATGTATTTGGAGCAGAGTTTAGAGACTTGACTAATAAAGTCAGTCTATGACAATCATGTGCAGCTCTTCTGACGTCAGTCTGAGATGCCCAGGGTTGAGGTGTAGGAAAGCCCCAAAGTGGCCAAAGTCACAATTCAAGAAAGTTTCAATTTCATTTTATAAAATGCTAACAAATACAAGTAATAGTACCATGTGAAAGCACTGCCAAAAAGTTTCATTTGAATGGTCGCACCAAACGATTTGAGCCCCATTCTCCAAAGCTAGATTCACCATACAGGACTTCATTGTTCACTGTGGTAGTAAAAGCAGGGCATATCTAATCGATAGAAATCGATCATCAAAAATGTAATCGATTAATCGATAATACTCGATAGTACTCGATATTTGTCGATGGATTAGTCAATTTAATATTGATTGAAATCTATAATCACAAATCTTTTGTCACATCTATGGAAATTGAAAATCAAAAACATGATCTGATCTTATCATAACACTTCATAACACTTACCTTCAAGCTTACCTTCAAATCTGCTTTGTTGATAAAGATGATGTTACTTCTTTCTCCAATGGTAGCATTTTCTTTTCGATCATTGTTGAACAAATCGTTAAGATCAATAGCTAATTACATAAATCAATCAAAATTGATAATCACAAAGACGCGAGTGATCGATTTCTATCAATTTTCGATGGTAATCGATTTCTATTGACTTTCAAAAGTATCGATTAGATGCGCCCTGGTAAAAGGCTTAATTTTTTCTACCCTTCTTTTATAATTTGGCTGTGTGTGTTTTTGATTTGTTTTACTTTCCACATGGTAAAGGATTGTTACCATACAGTTTGATTGTTTCTTGAATGATGCAGATTTCTCTTAGGCAAACTGCTCACTTTTTATCCAGACTGCTCACTGGTGCTAGAACGTTGTACTCAAATTAGCGTTTGTACCAGATGGGCTTATTTCGAAAAATTGCCTGCCCAAATTTCTGTATTCATATGGTTGATTCTTGGTCGATAACATTTAATACATATAATAGTAGATAGTTTGATGATTTCATTCTGTTTTGAATTTGTCATTTTTTTTATTTGTTCAAGGTTTTTATGTGTAAGAAGTCATTGTTCTTCTTGTATATTTTAATGTATTTTTTACAGGTCAAATTTGATTTCAGGTTAATTTTGATTTAACCTAGGTTGATTCTGAATTTCCAATGTCTCCTAGCCCTAGAAGACAAGCAAAATTGAGAACCAACCTAGGTTAAAAAATTTTAACCTGAAATCAAATTTCACGTGTAACATATTCATAAAAGTTATGCATAATGATATTTTTGCACACTAATATTATTCATGGAAATTTCACCTTGATTCAGGAATGCTTTGCTCTGGGTATCCAGTCATGAAATTTTGAAATTATTTTTTCAGGGATTTATTTTTGCAAGCATTTACTGAGTGTCACTATTTTTCTCACAACTGCTTTTTTAGTCAGCGTGATATTTATTATATTCCTGGGGATTTTCAAAACTCCTTTAAATCCAAACATAGACTTAACTCAGATATATACCTGCACTTTGTGGTTGATATACTAGCATATATTAATTCTAATTGTCTGAACTGCATTGTACCATTAAACCAGTTGGTAAAAATATTAAAGAAGGAAATAAAAAGAACAATTTACTTTTTAAAACTCAGTTCTTAAAATTATTTTGTCCACCTTGAAAAAAAGATATCAAGTTTGCAATAATTTCTGATAGGTATAAATTAAATGAAGTTTGACACAATGCGCACTGAATGTAAATTGTAATATTCAGGTTCCGAAGTGTTTTAAGGGTTGAGAGTCAATCTGTCTCTTTAGACAGGTGATTCATTCAGATAGAACAAAAGCTTTATGAATGGCTCCTGTATTTCAATTGAATGTTATTGTTCTTAGCACTTTCCAAAGGAAGCATGATACTTGATGAATTATTGATAACTTTCATGCCTACTAAGTGTCTTGACAGTACTATAAGGTACTATATACTAAAGTGCAAATTTAATTATGTCTGGAAATTTATTGGAAGGAGTTTTAGTGCTGGAGTCAGCAAATTTGTATGGTTAATACAATGTGGAAGGAGACATGTTTTCACACTCACCCAACATCACTGGAGAAGTTAATTTCATGACACATTGTAATAATATATTATTACGAGATGATTTGCTAAGTTTGGTTCTAACAAAAATCAGTTTTCATGCATCAGTTAGAAGGCCAGGTTTGGGTGAGAAAGATGATGTGATTTGGCACCAAGCACAAAGTTTATGTTCACTTCATGTTTTGGAACAATATTATTTTTCAGCAGATTTTGTTCTTCAATGATATTGATGTGGAAAGTGAAAATTCCATGAAATGACTCTACTACATGTAGTACTTGATGTACACATTACTATTGCTGTTTAAAGAATTAAACTTTGCTCTCTTTAATTTTTTTTTTTACAAATCTTAATGGCATAAGCAGTTGATTATTTCTGTTCTACCTATTGTTATTATTATTATTATTTTCTTGGACAGGTCACTTTTTAATACCATCTATTTTAAAACTTGCAACATATGTCACCCGTACTTGGCAATAAATATAATTTTGACATAATTTTAGTATGTAATATTTTGCAGAGTTTAGCAGATAACAGTGAATTTGTTAAATAAATGCACATATTAATTGTACAAATGTCAAAGACCCAATCAGAGATATGCAAATTATATTATTTAGTAACATCGTAATAGCTGTTGTTGTTGTCCCAGGGTGAAAGGGAGGCAATCTTCTAGGGTTACATGTATGTGTAACACTGAATATTATTATTATTAATTACCTAATCTAAGTTAAAAATTGTCAGATAATGCATGCAGATATTTGGAGTCACACAGTACAGTGCGTTTTAATTACTGTGATCTCCTAGACTGACGCAAGAAAAAATGTGAGCAATGAGTCTAATATCTGTGTGTTATCTGTCGAACCATCAGTTGATTTTAAAGGCTTTATTCAAATCCTGAGAATGTTCTACTTTATAATCTCCAAGTTAGCTTTGAATTGTTGACCTGAGTTGCATTTACATTTTCACTGTCAAATTGTGTTTTTTTACATTGTGGTATGAGTGTATGTTGGGACCGTTCTGTCAGTAGAGTGATGGCAAATTTGAATGACAATATTATTGGTATTTTTATTTTTACAGCATTAGCGTCAGACAGAACTAACCAAATGACCAAGACCCATAATGATCTTGATGCTATTCTACAACTCTTGCAAGAGGTGAGTTAAATTTTCTCTGCTTAATGCAACTTGGTTCTATAATTGGTTATACAGTAATGGCATCCATGGCGAAAATATGGCCTGAGTTGGCTTATTGAGTTGTTTAAGTCTTGTATGAGCATTATATTATATATAAAGTACCGTAAAGTTCCCAAAGTAATGACCCCCTGAAAGTAGCGACCTACACATGTATCAAAAGTAGTGATAAAATTTCACAGGTGCTAGCAAACGCCAAAAGTGGTGACCCTCGGAAAATAACAACCCACCGAAAGTAGCGACTTCAAAAGTGATTTCCCCTCCTTCTAGAAAAATGGAAATTATAGTTACAACAAGCTTTACTGAACTGATGACACAAGATCTATTTTTTAATGGTTATAATAATGATCTTTGACATTCCTTTATGTAACTCAAAAGGTACATTACATCTTTTTTTTTCAAAAAGTCTTTCTTTCGTCTGTGAATACCCACACTGTAATCAAACAATAATTCTTTTGAATATTTATTTAAAGAGCAACGACATGAAATAAGTTTCTCCCATTAATAAGTGCGAATGTTTTCACAATTATTGCAATATTATTACCGTAACTTCGTACAGCCCATGTACGATACACAGTTTAGCTTTCCCGAAAGTAGCTATAGCAAAAGGCTGCTTAAGCTGAAAGTAATGAAGGTTGTTACTTTATTTCTGAACTCAACAGTATGATTTAAGTATAATTTGTATCCTGACACCAATACAGTGTTGTTTATTGCTTTACAGTCAAGCTAGGCCAAGCTAAGCTTACCCCCACGGATTCCATTAATGAACTGACCATTTTAAAAACTGAACTAGTTTTTGCTGCTAATGTTATCTAATTATTCAAATCTGATTCCTGCATGCATAAAGAGCTAAGAAATTTTTGACTGTTAGGTCTCTGTATATATTTGGTGAGGTTGAAAAACCTTTCATTTTTAAATAGATCATACCAGTATATTGACTTCTATAAGAAGGCTGGGGAGCTTTTTATCCATTGGATAGCATTTTTAAATTTTAAACACCCATGCCAGACTGATCACTGTTAAATTCATATTTCAGTGGTTTTTCCTAGTAGGGATAGCTTTCAATGATTAATATTTTTTCCTCCAAATTTTTGTTTAATAGAAAGAGAAAGACCTAGAGCTTGCTGCCAGGATTGGACAGGTGAGAACATTGTCAAATACCACAGCTACATGTTAAGTTGATAATGCACAACTTGTGTGCGTCTTGTCTTAATATTCAAGTTTTTGTTGATGACTGTAGTCTCTGATCTACTGTCCATCTTTGTTTGTAACACCTGCTTAAGAAGCTGTCATGCAAGAATCAGCCTGCTGACTTACTCTAATCTCTACCACTGAGCGAGGACTAATTTTTACCTGTCTGGGTGCTATAATTAATAAATATTATAAATAATAAATAAAATTTATTTTCTCTTGAGGTACACAGGTGCCAACTTTTCATTTTGTTACTCTTCTAGTCCTTATTGGAAAGAAACAAGCAGCTATTGGCTAAAACGCAAGCTTTTGAAAGTTTTGTTGCTGAATGTGATGAAAAGGTCAGTACAAGAATGTTTAAGGGGAGCTGTCATTAAAGTTTTAAGTGGCTTCATGGTCTCTCATGGAAAGTAGTTATTTATCCGACAGATCCTCCTTTAGGTTGAGTTTGAGCGTGCAGGTGAACGTAGTCCTGAATAGGACTGTTGTTGTTGACAGTGACCGACATTTCGACAACCTGTGTGGTAGTCATCTTCAGAGTCAAAGTGAGTTGTATCACGTCAGTTGATGGTATTAAACTCGGGTTATTGGTCTGATTGGGACAGTCCTATTCAGGACTACATTCACCCAGACGATCAAACTCAACCTACTTTTGAAATGACTCCTGGGTTCAAACCTTTCACAAATCCCCCTTTGTTTGATCGTTTGACTCATTTTCANAAGTTTTGTTGCTGAATGTGATGAAAAGGTCAGTACAAGAATGTTTAAGGGGAGCTGTCATTAAAGTTTTAAGTGGCTTCATGGTCTCTCATGGAAAGTAGTTATTTATCCGACAGATCCTCCTTTAGGTTGAGTTTGAGCGTGCAGGTGAACGTAGTCCTGAATAGGACTGTTGTTGTTGACAGTGACCGACATTTCGACAACCTGTGTGGTAGTCATCTTCAGAGTCAAAGTGAGTTGTATCACGTCAGTTGATGGTATTAAACTCGGGTTATTGGTCTGATTGGGACAGTCCTATTCAGGACTACATTCACCCAGACGATCAAACTCAACCTACTTTTGAAATGACTCCTGGGTTCAAACCTTTCACAAATCCCCCTTTGTTTGATCGTTTGACTCATTTTCAAACTTATAGAAGCAGGCTAAATTTGCTGCAGTAGCTGGCTAACAAAGCTGGCTGCTAATGACTTCAATAATCAACTTGTTTTATAAACTAAAATAAAAATTTTGTTTTACCAGGAAACCCAGCTTCAGCATGAGGTGTCTATGAAGAATGAACTGCTTCAGAAATTTTTGAGGGATCAAGAATTAGAAGAGTACTATCAGCTGTCTCATCGCTCAGATGAAGACAGTCGAAGGTGAGCTGAATTACACCATTTTAAAATGTCAATCAATCTTTATTCATGGGGTCACTTCATTAAAAAGGCTCGAATGTAAGTTTGCCCAGGCTGATCTGATTTTAATACTCTCCATAAGGGGTAGGCTCATCAGAGCGTATAGCATAGACCAGTAATGCAATAAAAAAATATCCTCTTAAAAATATTCCACTTAATATGACAGATCTAGAGATCCAATGAGATTTCTTCAACCATGGCCTGAAGTAGACTTTGTACAGATAGCCAAGTAGTTTGTAAAAAAATCTCTCCTGGGACTGCTGGTTAATTAGTGCATCCCTAAATAAGTGGCAAGTCATTTACCCTACGAGCAGTGGTTTCTCCAAGCTGGACGCTACACTACGAAGGGATAGAACTCTCCCTTCGTAGCATAGTGTCCGGCCTGGAGAAACCACTGCTGGCAGGGTACAAGTCATTAAGCTATGCTCTAAAATGTGCTTAATTCTCTTCTTTTTGCAGTAGCGACAGTTTTTGCAGAGATGAATCAATCAACTCATTACAGCAGAAATGTCAAGCCTTGGAGCAACAGAACACACATCTCATCTTAGAGGTATGACAATAAATGACCAACAGTATATCGAAGGTGATTCTTACAATATGCAAAAGTATTAGTTAAACCACTGTGATGTCTCATATTTAGGTTTCTATAATGTGATTCTTTAGCTCTGGAAATTACAAAGATTTACTGTAGACTTGCTTGGATGAATTTTGTAGGCTTTGCAGATAAAGGAGGAGACAGCCTCAGTTGAAATGAAGGAGCAGCAACTTGTCTTAGATTGTGTCAAGCAACTAGGTAAGTGAATCAGTCCCTCCTAGGAAATCTAAAGTAAAAGGAGAAATAATTTAAGTAGGTGGAAATAAATTAGCTCGAAATCACAGAGGGTAGGTATGGGAGGGAGCTGGCCCCCATCTTTTGTTGAACTCTAGGGCTTTTCCCAGGAAAAGCAGCTACAAAACAAATACTTTTGCACTTTGAATTTAGGCTTCGCAAAATGATTTCATTTGATGATAATATTATTTGTGTCTTTGATAGTTGAAGCAAAAGATCAGATAACTTCCCTGACTGATGAGATTTCTCAGAAAGCAGACGACAATATCAGGCAACAGGTATGTATATCATTTTCTTGAACAGAATACAAAATAAGGGTCTTATTTTTGGTTGTGTGTGCAGCCTTTCACTTGAAAGCATACCTAAAAGAAATCCTTTTTTTTTTTGTTATTTTCATTACTTAATTTCAGCTCATTACTTTTTCCTTTTTTTGATCATGCAAAGTGTGTAGTAAAAATCTTATTTTCTTACAATTAGAGCAATAAACATTGAATTCTCTTTTGGTATCGTTAATAACCTAGTTGCCACCACAAGTTTTTCTGAAAAACACTGTTTGAAGCTACAGACAAGCTGTTTCCTGGTCAGCATCTGGCCAAAACAAGAAAAGACTGCCCAAGAGGTTGTTTACAAGTTGAGCACTATGTTGGCTTTTGTTCTTGATGCTTCATGTATAAGTTCCAAAGTTCAGGCTTGCACAGAAGGCAAAGTTTCTCCTCTTGACTTTCACCTTTTGGTTTCTCTACTTCTCATTTCTTTTGTTTTCCTTTCACTGAACATTTACTAGGCCTCATTTTGGTTGGAAGTTTCCATAAAAATGTGGAATATCGTTGAGTTAATTCAAAGGTACAGTGTAAATGGTTTAGGAAATTTTAAGCAAAGACTTTTTTTCTCTTTTTAGGAAGAAATCACCCATCTAATAACAACAGTTGTGGATCTTCAGACAAGGCACAAGGAAGTAAGATTATACCTTTCAAGGCTCAATGTCCACGGAGAAATTCTCTTGACTGATCTCTGTGCATTTCGTTAAGAATAAGTAGTGAGAATGTGATAAAAGATCAAAGCATTTTCACTTTGATGATCATTTTATTAATTCTCATAACCTTTGCTCTTGATGTTGTACTGATATTGTCAGGAGAAATTTGCCGTTGGTCACTCTTGGGACTTAAACAGGGTTTGTACAGAGTCTTGAATTCTTGAAAAAGTCTTGAAATTTGCCCAACAATTTTCCAGACTTGTTAAATACTGGAAAATAGAGATAAAGTCTGGAAAAAAATGGTAAAAAGTCTCGAGGTTTTTTGAAAGCTAGAACAAGTGCTTTACAAGTGAAATTTTTTTCCTGTTGGTCAAATCGTATTCAATCTTACCTGTATGTTTGCAGTGCATCATTGAAAAGGGTTTGTTTCTGTTTTTTTTTTTAAGGTCTATATTGATCACCTATTTGATAACCTTGAGTCTGGAAAAAGTAATTATTTTTTTGGAAAAAGTCTGGAAAAAGTCTTGAATTTTTTGGATCCAAAAATCTGTATGAACCCTGTTAAAGGGTTAACGATATGCATTCTCCTAACTGTACTTGTAATTTCTTATGCTACTGGTGCATGTTATATTTGGTGATCTTTCCTCTATTGCAGGGCTTTGATTAAGAGCAGGGGGCCAGGGATTTTCTCTGGTTAGTACGAACATGACCCCCACCTACTTTAGAAGGAAAATGGAAGAAAAATAGAACCAAACAATATCCCTAGCAGCTTGATTCCCCGCCTACTTACACCATTTACCTGGCAACCTGAAATTTTAATGACAGCCCTGCTCTATTGTAATGGCTATCATATTAACTGTTCTGCAATTTTATGTGCAACAAAAAGTGAGCTGTTATTCTGTCATGTAAGTGCTCATGTTATTTTTCTGTTTTCAGCTGTCATCGAATAATGACGATTTACAAAGTTTGTTAAACTCATCCCAGGCCAATCAAGAACAGCTGAAGACTCAGGTGATTGCCGTTAAATTAAGAGGAAATTATTTTTATTTTCTTAGGTTCGCCAATGCTGTCATGGTCACCAATTACTGTGGGCCCATAACAGTCCCTCCCCCCTTTAGAGATAGACCACCACACCTGGGTTTACTTTCCCTACTCTTTACGAATGGTGTGTGGGTTTCTTCAATGTCCCAGGGAATTTATATGTGCATGGGTTGTGAGACAGGGCCTATGGTTTATCCTCCTTATCCAAGAAGACTAGAAAGTTTAACGATTATTATGTAAGTTTCACTTGGTGAACGAACCAGACAAGTATGGCGAGACAAATCCTGTCATGTACCAGGGTTGTCATTAAGAGTCGAGGGCTGGGGATTTCCCCCTGCTATAGTTAGTGTGGCCCCCGGCTACTTTCATAGGAAGATAGAAAAAAAAAAGCCAAAAGAAATCCCTAGCTGTTTGATTCCCTGCCTACTTCTTGTATTTACCCGGCAACTTGAAATCTTAGGGACAACTGTGATGTACAAACACACGAAAAGAACTCAGCAGATGCTGTTCGCTGATTGGTCAAAATAATACAAAGCATATTTTGTGACCAATCAGGGGCCACCATTCACTTGAACATTTGGAATTGGTCTGGTGATGGTCAGTAGCGAGGGGCTCTTCTGCCCGTGCTTTTGTCACACCTTTTCTCCCTCGTGACTGACTGCCTCTGGATCACCGAGGATGATCATTAGCAAGAGCTAAATAAAAACTGTTTGTTTCAGGTTAATGATTTGCAAGAAAAATACCATGAATGTCTGGAGATGCTGATGGAAAACCAGGTGATTTAAATTGAGTTTTTTGCTGTAGTTTTTTTCTCTGCAATATCATACTGAGATATTTTTCTAAAATTTATTTTTTTAATTTTATAGAGGGAAGTAAAAAAGTTGAACACAAAGATAGAGTGAGTTAATCATCAGGCCTCGGTTGTTCAAAGGTTGGATAGCACTATCCACGGGATAAAACTCTATCCAGTAGATAGTGCAATTAGTTTCCCTAATACTAATCCACTGGATAGAGATTTATGGGGTGGATAGCGCTATCCACCCCATAAATCTCTATCCAGTGGATAGTGCAATTAGTTTCCCTAATACTTCTGGATAGAGATTTATGGGGCGGAGAGCTCTATCCACCAGATAAATCTCTATCCAGTGGGTAGTGCAATTAGTTTCCCTAATACTAATCCACTGGATAGAGATTTATGGGGCGGATAACGCTATCCAAGTTTGAACAACCCGGGCCTAGTAAAATTTATGTTGAAAATTAAATTTATTTTCTACACAACTCAGATTCTAAAACTTTTCCCTGGTTGGTTTTTCAGGTCTGACATGGTACCCAGAAAAAGGTCACAGTTACCATATCACGTAAGTACAGAGTGACCCTAGGCACCTCAAAAAAAGTCAAGCGACCAGTTGGGCTAGCATGTTTTCATTCTGAGTTGTCTGACGGGCATGCAACATTTGACATGATAAAGTAAATGTTTGCTCTGGTCTAGTAAACTTCAGCAACAGCTTCCATAAAGAGCAAAGTGTTTTTAAAATTGGAAAGATTAAATGGATTGAATCAGGATCGAATTAGGATATACTCACTAATATTGCCTCAAAATTTATGTATGAAGTGTTGTTTAAAATGCTCAGGAACCAACTTTGGTCCCAGGGTCCTCCTCCTACTTGTCCCTCTGGGGGGATAGGTAGGACGAGGTTACTTTAGCTGATAAGCTGCAGTGGCGAATCGAGACCTTCAGATAAGGGGGAGCCTAGTCATCCAGACCCTGAGATAAGGAGGGGAGGGGGTGGTCTCCAAAAAAAAAAAAAAAAAAATTTTTTCAGCCCTTTTCTGGGCCCCTCCCCTTGATCTGCCACTGAGCTGTGGTGCGTTTGATCAGGGTTTCGTATTTGTAAGTGTTCAAAGTTGAAGGTAACAATTTGTCATTTTTGTGGGTTATTCTTGTAGGATTCCCGTGATTCTATTGCCCTGGAAATTGAGGAAAGTGTCAAGAGAGATCTGACCACTCAGCAGGAGAAGAGGTACAATTAGTCCCAATAGTAACTAACTTCAATTTTCTCCTAACAATATCCATACATTGTCAAGAGATTAGGTTATGAGAATTAATAAATTGATCACCTAAGAGAAAAAACTTTGATCTTTTATCAAATGCTCATAACTCATTCTTTAAAGAAATATATAGGGATCAGTTTGGAGAATTTGTATGTGGATATTGGTGCCGGTTAAATATAACACCCATATATTTCTTATGGCTTTATTTGTTACTGCCAATTTTTAATCAGCCATTTTGGGACTGAGAAGCTGTGGTGCCGAATTGTACCATGAAGCTGTTTTTTCGCTGCTTTTTATTAGCTGTTACGAGGTCGAGCAGGGACCTGGGTCCAAATTTGGTCCCCAAAACATTATTGACCCAGTCTTGAGCACGACCTCAATATGTCCAGTACAGCAAAACTGGCAACTAAAGTATGTTTTTAAAACAATCTTTAGCCTTTTCTTTTTATTAGGGGGAGGGAGAGGAAACAAGCGAAGTTGTAGCTCTGCAAGTTGCGAAATTTTTCTGACGTTTGTTGGAACGGTGGGGGCACAAACTTGCCCAACCCCCACCCCCTCCCTCCTCCACCCCCTCCACTGTACAACACCATTTTTGTGGAGCCGTAGCTTCGATCGCCTTAAACCTATTGCTCTCAAACTTGGATTCGCTACTGATCTCAAGGAGCTCTTTCCATCGGTATCGATGGATGTTTACGGTCATCTCGCCACGAAGAAGTGGACTCGTCGCCAATCAACTCGCCACCAAGTAATGTCTCTGCATTAATCAACGTGTTTACTCACCTAGGATTACTTACCTAGAATTTTTACTTTTTCGCTAAGCTTATTCGAATTTGATTACAGAGTTATTACTTGGTGGCGAGGTGGTCGGCGGCGAGTCGACTTCTTGGTGGCGAGATGACCAGTACCTCGATTGATTGTCACTAACTGGTTTATGAAAAAATTGAAAAAAAATCAGGCAAGGGTCTAGTGACAACCATTTCATTTTCTTTACAGAGAGCACACAGCGCGCGTTATGGAAACTGTCCGTGTGATTAATACTGGTAGTTCTGGGCGGAGAACCAGGAAAACTGGACTCCGTGCAAGTAAGAGCGGTGCCGGATTTCAGTTTGATCCTTCAGGTATCGTGACTGGATCAGCGGAAAATGGTGGTGCTGCGGCCAACTCACAGACTGGCAGCCCAGCGGCAGGTACTAACTTATATAACTGATACACTTCTCCCACGCTAGTCTACGAGCAAGTTCCCTGGGGACGATGGACGAGAGAAGAATTGCGGTCGTTTTGCCCGACGGCGTTTGCCAGGACATTAGTCGATTCGCTCGATGACATACAACACTCTACAACATGGTGAACATACCTTTCGAGATGTTATTTCAGTTACCCTTGGATTCCAAATGTAGTGTTCAAGTTTATCAAATAAGATGGAATGATTGACTGTATCGAAAGCTTTCGAGAGATCTAAAAAGACACCAACCGCTAATTCACCATGATCAATAGCTGATGAAATTTTTTCATGCAAATAAATCAAGGCTTTAATACATTTAATACATATAACAGTAGATAGTTTGATGATTTCATTCTGTTTTTAATTTGACAATTTTTTTTTATTTGTTCAAGGTTTTTATATCTAAGAAGTCATTGTTGTCCTTGTATATTTAAATGTAGTTTTTACAGGGCAAATTTGATTTCAGGTTAATTTTGATTTAACCTAGGTTGATTCTGAATTTCCAATGTCTCCTAGCCCTAGACGACAAACAAAATTATGAACCAGCCTAGGTTAAAAAATTTAAACCTGAAATCAAATTTCACATGTAACATATTCATAAAAATTATGCATAATGATATTTTTGCACACTAATATTATTCATGGAAATTTCACCTTGATTCAGGAATGCTTTGCTCTGGGTATCCAGTCATGAAATTTTGAAATTATTTTTTTCAGGGATTTATTTTTGCAAGCATTTACTGAGTGTCACTATTTTTCTCACAACTGCTTTTTTTAGTCAGCGTGATATTTATTATATTCCTGGGGATTTTCAAAACTCCTTTAAATCCAAACATAGACTTAACTCAGATATATACTGCACTTTGTGGTTGATATACTAGCATATATTAATTCTAATTGTCTGAACTGCATTGTACCATTAAACCAGTTGGAAAAAATATCAAAGAAGGAAATAAAAAGAACAATTTACTTTTTAAAACTCAGTTCTGAAAATTATTTTGTCCACCTTGAAAAAAGATATCAAGTTTGCAATAATTTCTGATAGGTATAAATTAAATGAAGTTTGACACAATGCGCACTGAATGTAAATTGTAATATTCAGGTTGCGTAGTGTTTTAAGGGTTGAGAGTCAATCTGTCTCTTTAGACAGGTGATTCATTCAGATAGAACAAAAGCTTTACGAATGGCTCCTGTATTTCAATTGAATTTTATTGTTCTTGGCACTTTCCAAAGGAAGCATGATACTTGATGAATTATTGATAACTTTCATGCCTACTAAGTGTCTTGACAGTACTATAAGGTACTATATACTAAAGTGCAAATTTAATTATGTCTGGAAATTTATTGGAAGNGATATCAAGTTTGCAATAATTTCTGATAGGTATAAATTAAATGAAGTTTGACACAATGCGCACTGAATGTAAATTGTAATATTCAGGTTGCGTAGTGTTTTAAGGGTTGAGAGTCAATCTGTCTCTTTAGACAGGTGATTCATTCAGATAGAACAAAAGCTTTACGAATGGCTCCTGTATTTCAATTGAATTTTATTGTTCTTGGCACTTTCCAAAGGAAGCATGATACTTGATGAATTATTGATAACTTTCATGCCTACTAAGTGTCTTGACAGTACTATAAGGTACTATATACTAAAGTGCAAATTTAATTATGTCTGGAAATTTATTGGAAGGAGTTTTAGTGCTGGATTCAGCAAATTTGTATGGTTAATACATTGTGGAAGGTGAAATGTTTTCACACTGAACCCAACATTGCTGGAGAAGTTAATGTCATGACACATTGTAATAATATATTATTACGAGACGATTTGCTAAGTTTGGTTTTAACAAAAATCAGTTTTCCTGAATCAGTTAGAAGGTCAGGATTGGGTGAGAAAGATGATGTGATATGGCACCAAGCACAAAGTTTATGTTCACTTCATGTTTTAGAACAATACTATTTTTCAGTAGATTTTGTTCTTCAATGATATTGATGTGGAAAGTGAAAATTCCATGAAATGACTCTAGTACATGTAGTACTGATGTACACATTACTATTGCTATTTAAAGAATTAAGCTTTGCTCTCTTTAATTTTTTTTTACAAATCTTAATGGCATAAGCAGGTGACTATTTCTGTTGTACCTATTATTATTATTATTATTTCCTTGGACAGGTCATTATAATTATATTGTAATTATATTATTTAGTAACATCGTAATAGCTGTTGTTGTTGTCCCAGGGTGAAAGGGAGGCAATCTTCCAGGATTACATGTATGTGTAACACTGAGTATTATTATTATTAATTACCTAACCTAAGTTAAAAATTGTCAGATAATGCATGCAGATACTTGGCCATGGAGTCACACAGTACAGTGTGTTTTAATTATTGTTATCTCCTAGACTGACGCAAGAAAAAAATTTTGAGCAATGAGTCTAATATCTGTGTGTTATCTGTCAAACCATCAGTTGATCTTAAAGGTTTTATTCAAACCCTGAGAACGTTCTACTCTGCAATCTCCAAGCCTTGAATTGTTGTCCTAACTAGCATTTACAGTTTCACAGTCAAATTGTGTTTTTTTACATTGTGGTATGGGTTTATATTGGGACTGTTCTCTTAGTAGAGTGATGGCAAATTTTAATGACAATATTGTTGGTATTTTTATTTTTACAGCATTAGCGTCAGACAGAACTAACCAAATGACCAAGACCCATAATGATCTTGATGCTATTCTACAACTCTTGCAAGAGGTGAGTTAAATTCTCTCTAATTAATGCAACTTGGTTCTATAATTGGTTATACCCCAATGGCATCCATGGTGAAAAAGACGGCCTGAGTTGGCTCATTGAGTGATCTAAATCTTGTGTGAGGGTGGATTCTCAATGCTCAGCATTATATTATATAAACTACCGTAAACTTCCCAACGTAACTGCAGCCCCCTTAAAGTAGCAACCTTTCAAAAGGAGCAATAAAATTTCACAGGTGTTAGCAAATGCCAAAAGTAGCAACCCTCCGAAAATGACAACCCTCCGAAAGTAGCGACTTCAAAAGTTATTTTTCTTCTTGCTAGAAACAATGGAAATTGTAGTTATGACAAGCTTTCCCAAACTGATCCGAGATTTATTTTTTAACAACTGTAATGATCTTTGACATTCCTTTATGTAACTCAAAAGGTTCATTACATGTACATTTTTTTTTTTCAAAAAGTCTTCCTTTCGTCTGTGAATACCCACACAGTAATCAAACAATTTTTTTGAATATTTATTTAAAAAGCTATGACATGAAATAGGTTCTCCAAATAAAAAGTGTTGCTGTTTTCACAATTGTCGTGATATTATTATCATAACTTCGCACAGCCCATGTACGACACACGGTTTAGCTACCCGAAAGTAGCTACAATGTATAGGAAAAGGCTGCTAAATTCAAAAGTAATGAGGGTTGTTACTTCAGAAACTTTACAGTATGATTTAAGTATAATTTGTATCATGACACCAATACAGTGTTGCCTGTTGCTTTACAGTGAAGCCAGGCCAAGCTAAGCTTACCCCCACAGAATCCATTAATGAACTGACCATTTTAAAAACTGAATTAGTTTTTGGTGCTAATGTTATCTAATTCAAATCTGAATTCCTGCATGCATAAAGAGCTAAGAAATTTTTTACGATCAGTTCTCTGTATATATTTGGTGAGGTTGAAAAACCTTTCATTTTTAAATAGATCATACCAGTATATTGACTTCTATAAGAAGGCTGGGGAGCTTTTTATCCATTGGATAGCGTTTTTAAATTTTAAACACCCATGCCAGACTGATCACTGTTATTCATATTTTAGTGTTTTTTTCTAGTAAATGATTAATTTTTTAATGATTAATTTTTTCCCTCCAAATTTTTGTTTAACAGAAAGAGAAAGACCTAGAGCTTGCTGCCAGGATTGGACAGGTGAGAACATTGTCAAATACTGCAGCTACATGTAAAATTGATAATGCACAGCTTGCATGCATTTTTCCTTGATATTCAAGTTTTTGTTGATGACTGTTGTCTCTGATCTGCAGTCCATGTTTGTTTTAATGCAAGGATCAGCCTGCTGACTTGCTCCAATCTCTACCACCGAGCAAGGACTAATATTATTTTGACCTGTCTGAGCCATAATTAATAAAAAATATTATTTATAATAATTTATAAATAATGAATAAAATTTAATTTCTCATGAGGTACACAGGTGCCAACTTTTCATTTTGTTATTCTTCTAGTCCTTATTGGAAAGAAACAAGCAGCTGTTGGCTAAAACGCAAGCTTTTGAAAGTTTTGTTGCTGAATGTGATGAAAAGGTCAGTACAACAATGTTTAAGGGGAGCTGTCATTAAAGTTTTAAGTGGCTTCATGGTCTCTCACGGAAAGTAGTTATTTATCGGACAAGTCATCCTTTGTTTGATATTTTTTAACTCATTTTCAAACTTAGGGAAGCAGGCTAAATTTGCTGCAGTAGCTGGCTAACAAAGCTGGCTGGTAATGACTTCAATAATCAACTTGTTTTATAAACTAAAAGAAAAATTTTGTTTCACCAGGAAACCCAGCTTCAGCATGAGGTGTCTATGAAGAATGAATTGCTTCAGAAATTTTTGAGGGATCAAGAATTAGAAGAGTACTATCAGCTGTCTCATCGCTCAGATGAAGACAGTCGAAGGTGAGCTGAATTATGCCATTTTAAAATGTCAATCAATCAATCAGTCTTTACTCATGGTGTCACTTCATTAAAAATGCACTAATGTAAATTTGCCCAGGCTAATATCTGATTTAATTACTCTCCACAAGGGGTAGGCTCATCAGAGCATATAGCATAGACCAGTAATGCAATAAAAAAATATCCTCTAAAAAATATTCAACTTAACCCATTCGCTCCTGGAGATTTTGCCGAAAAACGCGTTTTGAAGCTAGTCGAGTGGTTTTCTGGTCACTGTCGTGCTTTTAAGAGCTAAAACTTACCACAAACCGGTTTACAGGTCGTACACTTCACGAAGTTGTCCTTGACCATTAAAACTGATGACGTCACAAAGGGTAGAAAGGACATGGATCCGCACGGGCGGTTACGGGCAGTTCAGGGGCGAATGGGTTAATATGACAGATCTAGAGATCCAATGTGATCCAATGAGATGGCCTAAATTAGACTTTGTACAGATAGCCAAGTAGTTTGTAAAAAAATCTGTTTGGTTAATAACTGCATCCCTAAATAAGTAACAGCTCATTTACCCTGCGAGCAGTGGTTTCTCCAAGCTGGACGCTACGCTACGAAGGGATAGAACTCTTCCTTCAAAGCGTAGCGTCCTGCCTGGAGAAACCACTGCTCGCAGGGTACAAGTCATTAAGCTATGCCCTAAAATGTGCACATTTCTCTTCTTTTTGCAGTAGCGACAGTTTTTGCAGAGATGAATCAATCAACTCATTACAGCAGAAATGTCAAGCCTTGGAGCAACAGAACACACATCTCATCTTAGAGGTATGGCAATAAATGACCAACAGTATACTAAAGGTGTTTCTTACAATATGCAAAAGTATTGGTTAAACCACTGTGATGTCTCATATTTAGGTTTCTATAATGTGATTCTGTAGCTCTGGAAATTACAAAGATTTACCGTAGACTTGCTTGGATGAATTTTGTAGGCTTTGCAGATAAAGGAGGAGACAGCCTCAGTTGAAATGAAGGAGCAGCAACTGGTCTTAGATTGTGTCAAGCAACTAGGTAAGTGAATCAGGCCCTCCTAGGAAATCTAAAGTAAAAGGAGAAATAATTTAAGTAGGTGGAAATAAATTACCTCGAAATCACAGAGGGTAGGTATGGGAGGGAGCTGGCCCCCATCTTTTGGTGAACTTGAGGGCTTTTCCCAGGAAAAGCAGCTACAAAACAAATACTTTGCACTTTGAATTTAGGCTTCGCAAAATGATTTCATTTGATGATAATATTATTTGTGTCTTTGATAGTTGAAGCAAAAGATCAGATAACTTCCCTGACTGATGAGATTTCTCAGAAAGCAGACGACAATATCAGGCAACAGGTATATATATCATTTTCTTGAACAGAATGCAAAATAAGGGTCTTATTTTTGGTTGTGTGTGCAGCCTTTCACTTGAAAACATACCTAAAATAAATCCATTTTTTTTATTTTCGTTACTTAATTTCAGCTCATTACTTTTTCCTTTTTTTGATCGTGCAAAGTGTGTAGTAAAAATCTTATTTTCTTCCAATTAGAGCTATAAACATTGAATTCTCTTTTGGTATCATTAATAACCTAGTTACTACCACAAGTTTTTCTGAAAAACACTGTTTGAAGCGTGACAGACTAGCCGTTTCCTGGTCAGCATCTGGCCAAACAAAACAGGAAAAGACTTCCCAAAAGGTTGTTTACAAGTCAAGCACTATGTTGGCTTTTGTCCTTGATGCTAATTATAGGTTCCAATATTCCAGGCTTGTGCAGAAGGGAAAGTTTTTTCTCTTGGCTTTTACCTTTTTCTCTCTCTACGTCCCACTTCTTTTTCTTTTCTTCTCCCTTTTCCTCTCACTGAACATTTACTAGGCTTCATTTTGGTTTCCATAAAACTGAGTTAACTGAGTTATCATTGAGTTAATTCAGAGGTACGGCGTAAATTGTTTAAGAAATTTGAAGCAAAGATTTTTTTTGTATTTCAGGAAGAAATCACCCATCTAATAACAACTGTTGTGGATCTTCAGAAAAGGCACAAGGAAGTAAGATTATCCCTTTCAAGCCTCAATATCCGCATACAAATTCTCTTGACCGATCTACATACATTTCCTTAAGAATGAGTAGTGAGAACGTGATTAAAGATCAAAACATTTTCACTGTGATGATCATTTTATTAATTCTCCTAACCTTTGCTCTTGATGTTGTACTGATATTGTGAGGAGAAGTTTGCTGTTGGTCAATCTTGGGACTTAAAGCAGAGTTTGTACAGAGTCTTGAATTCGTGAAAAAGTCTTGAAATTTGCCCAGCAATTTTCCAGACCTGAAAAAAGTCTAGAAAATAGAGATAAAGTCTGGAAAAAAATGGTAAAAGGTCTTGAGGTTTTTTGAAGGCTACAACAAGTGCTTTACAAGTGAAATTTTTTTCCTGTTGGTCAAATCATATTCAATCTCTCTGCTCTATTGTAATGCATGGCTATTATATTAACTGTTCTGCAATTTTATGTGCAACAAGAAGTGAGATGTTATTCTGTCTTGTAAGTACTCATGTTATTTTTCTGTTTTTAGTTGTCATCAAACAATGAAGATTTACAGAGTTTGTTAAACTCATCCCAGGCCAATCAAGAACAGCTGAAGACTCAGGTGATTGTCCTTAACTTAAGAGGAAATTAATTTTGTTTAGCTTCGCCAATGCTGGCATACTCACCAATTACTGCGGGCCCATAACAGTCCCTCCCCCCATTAGAGATACACCACCACACCCGGGTTTACTTTTGCTAGTCTTTATGAACAGTGTGTGGGTTTCTTCAACATCTCATGGAATTGGTATGTGCAAGGGTTGTGAGACAGGGCCTATGGTTCATCATCCTTCTCCAATTAAGACTAGAAAGTTTAACCATTATTTTGTAAGTTTCACTTGCATGCACAACTTTGGTGAACAAACCAGACAAGTATGGTGAGACAAATCCCGTCATGTACCAGGGCTGTCATTAAGAGCTGGGGGCTGGGGATTTCTGCCAGCTACAGTGAACGTGGCCCGTGGCTACTTTCATAGGAAAATAGAAGAAAAATAAAACCAAAAGAAACCCTTAGCTCTTTGATTCCCTGGCTACTTCTTGTATTTACCCAGCAACTTGAAATCTTAGTGACATCCCTTATGTACGAACACACAAAAAGAACTCAAAAGATGCTGTTTGCTGATTGGTCAAAATAATACAAAGCATATTTTGTGACCAATCAGGGGCCACCATTTGCTTGAACCTTTGGAAATGGTCTGGTGAAGGTCAGTAACCAGGGGCTTTTCTGCCCCTGGGTCACCAATGATAGACATTAGCAAGAGCTAAATAAAAACTGTTTTGTTTCAGGTTAGTGATTTGCAAGAAAAATACCATGAATGTCTGGAGATGCTGATGGAAAACCAGGTGATTTAAATTGAGTTTGTTGCTGTTTTTCTTAATGGTAATAATAATATGCTTAAATCTGCAATAGCATATTGATATATTTGTCTAAAATGTTTTTTATTTTATTTTATAGAGAGAAGTAAAAAAGTTGAACACAAAGATAGAGTAAGTTAACCATTAGGCCTTGGTTGTTCAAAGGCTGGATAGCGCTATCCAACGGATAAATCACTATCCAGTGGTAGTGCAATTAGTTTTCCTAATACTTTTCCACTGGATAGAGATTTATGGGGTGGATAGCTCTATCCAATGTTTGAAAAACTGGGGCCTGGTACAATTTATGCTTAGAATTAAATTTATTTTTTGCACAAGTTAGATTCTAAAACTTTTCCCTGGTTGTGTTTTAGGTCTGACATGGTACCCAGAAAAAGGTCACAGTTACCATATCATGTAAGTACAAAGTGACCCTGGGTGCCTCAAAATTACTGTCTGCTAGCCTGGGAAAAGTCAAGCGACCAGTTGGGCTAGCATGCTTTAATTCTGAGTTGTCTGATGGGCATGCAACATTTGACAAGATAAAGTAAATGTTTGCTCCGGGCTAGTAAACTTCAGCAACAGCTTGCATAAAGAGCAAGTGTTTTTTTAAAATTGGAAAGATTAAATGGATTGAATCAGGATCGAATTAGGATATACTCACTAATATTGCCTCAAAATTTATGTATGAAGTGTTGTTTAAAATGCTCAGGAACCAACTTTGGTCCCGGGGTCCTCCTCCTACTTGTCCCTGTGGGGGGATAGGTAGGACGAGGTTACTTTAGCTGATAAGCTGCAGTGGCGGATCGAGACCTTCAGATAAGGGGGGGTCCAGTCATCCAGACCCTGAGATAAGGAGGGGAGGGGGTGATCTCAAAAAAAATTTCTTTGGCGCTTTGGGCCTAAGTTTGGTTGAAAAATAAGGGAAGGGGGCCTCCCCTGTATCCGCCACTGGGCTGTGGTGCGTTTTATCAGTGTTTCGTTTTTGTAGGGGTTCAAAGTTAAAGATAACAATTTGTCATTTTGTGGGTAATTCCTGTAGGATTCCCGCGATTCTATTGCCCTGGAAATTGAGGAAAGTGTCAAGAGAGATCTGACCACTCAGCAGGAGAAGAGGTACAATTACTCCCAATAGTAACCAACTTCAATTTTCTCTTAATGATATCCATACATTGTCAAGAGATTAGGTTATAAGAATTAATAAAATGATCACCTAAGAGAAAAAACTTCGATCTTTTATCAAATGCTCTTAACTCATTCTTTAAAGAAATATATAGGGATCAGTTTGGAGAATTTGTATGTGGATATTGGTGCTTAAAGGGTTAAATATAACACCCACATATTTCTTATGGCTTTCTTTATTACTGCCAATTTTTAATCGGCCATTTTGGGACTGAGATGCTGTGGTGCCGAATTGTACCATGAAGCTGTTTTTTCGCTGCTTTTTATTGGCTGTTACGAGGTCGAGCAGGGACCTGGGTCCAAATTCGGTCCCCAAAACATTATCGACCCAGTCTTGAGAACGACCTCAATATGTCCAGTACAGCAGCCTATAGAAAACTGGCAACTAAAGTATGTTTTTAAAACAATCTTTAGCCTTTTCTTTTTATTAGGGGGAGGGAGAGGAAACAAGCGAAGTTGTAGCTCTGCAAGTTGCGAAATTTTTCTGACGTTTGTTGGAATGGTGGGGGCACAAACTTGCCCAACCCCCGCCCCCCCCCCCACCCTCCACCCCTCCGCCCCTCCACTGTACAACACCATTTTTGTGGAGCCGTAGCTTCGATCGCCTTAAACCTATTGCTCTCAAACTTGGATTCGCTACTGATCTCAAGGAGCTCTTTCCATCGCTATCGATGGATGTTTATGGTCATCTCGCCGCCAAGAAGTGGACTCGTCGCCAGTCAACTCGCCACCAACAACTCTCATCGCCACCAACTAATGTCTCTGCATTAATCAACGTGTTTACTCACCTAGGATTACTTACCTAGAATTTTTACTTTTTCGCTAAGCTTATTCGAATTTGATTACAGAGTTATTACTTGGTGGCGTGGTGGTCGGCGGCGAGTCGACTTCTTGGTGGCGAGATGACCAGTACCTCGATTGATTGTCACTAACTGGTTTATGAAAAAAATGAAAAAAAGTCAGGCAAGGGTCTAATGACAACCATTTCATTTTCTTTACAGAGAGCACACAGCGCGCGTTATGGAAACTGTCCGTGTGATTAATAGTGGTAGTTCTGGACGAAGAACCAGGAAAACCGGACTCCGTGCAAGTAAGAGCGGTGCCGGATTTCAGTTTGATCCTTCAGGTATCGTGACTGGATCAGCGGAAAATGGTGGTGCTGCGGCCAACTCACAGACTGGCAGCCCAGCGGCAGGTACTAACTTATATAACTGATACACTTCTCCCACGCTAGTCTACGAGCAAGTTCCCTGGGGACGATGGACGAGAGAAGAATTGCGGTCGTTTTGCCCGACGGCGTTTGCCAGGACATTAGTCGATTCGCTCGATGACATACAACACTCTACAACATGGTGAACATACCTTTCGAGATGTTATTTCAGTTACCCTTGGATTCCAAATGTGCAGTCACTGTCTTTAAATGCTTATTCCTTTTTCTCGGGCTTAAAGAATGACAAATACACTTCGGGCGAATCGACTTAGTCAGGGTGAACTGCTATCGGGCGAACCGACCTTCGGGCGAAACGACCTGATACCCGAGAGAATACGAGAGCTCTCCCCTTTTTCTCTTCCGGTCCCGGAGCCAGTCAGAGAACCTGCTAGCATGCTTCTCGCGCGCTTCTCGCGGGTTTCTCGCTATCTTATCACAATAGCAAGTGAACATCGAACTTGAAAACAATCCATTGTGCTATCCAACGTGGGAAGTGATTTTGATTTGTTGATTTCACTGAAAGGATTGAAACCCGTCAAGGTAAAACTGATTTGTATGTTTTTAATTTTTTTAACAGAAAGAAGGATATCTTACTCTGGGAGACGGTCGTTTCGAGCTCCAGAGAAGTTACAGATCGTCAAACCAATCAAAGGTGAGACAAGTTCACACTCATCATCTTGATTCACAATAACCGAGAGGCTTTGGCCATGTTGAGTTGGCGTGAGAGACTGGGTCGAGGTTGTGTTGAAATGTTGTGTAGGACGATGAGCGAATACTGCCCCAGTTTCTTGCGCAACCTCGTTATAGCCAGTAGAGAGGACGTAATGACTCTCCTGTCTATGAAAAGAGCCATAGAGTTCCCCAAAACAGCCGTATTGTTCAGTTCGACAAAACACGAAAAGCAGGAACAGAAAGGTCAATTAACTTGACAGGTCTCATATATGACCAGCCCGTTTTACAATACAACTAAATTAAGTACGAAGAACCATTTTGTTAGTAGACTCAAGGGGCAAACTCAATACAGCTCAATTGTGTTGCGTTTTTACAAAGCTAAGCAGATTTGAACTCTGTTTTAAACTCCGTGTGTAAACGTTAGTGAACTTTCCAAAGAAACAAGTCAGGAAAGTCGAGGTCCGAAAAATCGAAGTACGGATAATCAATGTCAGGTTAATCAAAGCCCGGATAATCGAGGTCCGGCTAATCAAGGCCATGAAAATCGAAATTAATCGAGGTCCGGATAAAAGAGGTGTGGACAATCGAGGTCCGACTGTACGTATTTTTGGGGTCTTAATATTCCATTCTTCTGACAGGATCAGTTACTTTGCATCAGTGGAAGAAACTAGCCAATCCGACCTTAAATCTCGCTGAGGAACGTCCTGGGGTGCACGTTAAAGGTCAGGACCGAGAAATGGGGACCGGAGAGCCAAGGGAGCAGACTGACTTAAGTGATATGGACCCTGATGATCTTGAGTACGAGGAAGATGCGTCTGTACACATGCGCAGTGTTCGGACTTCAGAGTCTGCTTCAGAGGCTACCAGCCATACGGGGACAAACGAAGGTGATGACCATGATGATGATAATGACGATGATGATGGACCGATTCAAATGCGAATTAGCAGGAATCAAGATAAAGGAACTCCAGTTTCAAAGGCTGAGAAAGGAGCTAGCGTGAAAAGACCCTCCTCTTTGACCCCTCCTCAAAACATGGGCCTGATGCCACTGGTCAGTGGTCATGGACTCCAGAGGACCGTCGATAGCGGGGGCATCTTAGCGCATCTTCTAAGCGGTCCCTCGACTTCATCCCCTACTACGTCATCTGTGGGGCAGGTACTTGCTGAGGTCTTAAACAAGGCCAGTAAGGAAGCGTCTGAAAAGGAGCCTACACGCGCTGCATCTCTCCGGAACCTGGCAAAGTACTTCAGTGATAAAGAGCGTGGTAGTAACCCCACCCCGGTGAAAACTAAAGCCCCAGCCTCTTCTCCCGTGATACAAATGCCGAAGACTAGTTCCCCAGCGGGTGGACTACTGAGTAAGGTTCTTGCGTCAAGTTCATTATCTGCGAATTTGACTTTTCCTTCACCGATTACAACCACTGCCAAAAGCACCGGGTTACCCACAACGACGACTACCAGCACCTCGACTTCTCCAAGTATTCTTACACGAGGTACTCTAGTTAGGAACTCTAGTGGTAGTAACCTACTGAGTTTGGCTCAGGGGTCCTTGGCGGATGATACGTCAGGTAAGCGTCATAGTCTGGACTCTGCAAAATTGCTTAAGACCACTTCCGGTGCACTAGACTCACCACCAGACTTTTCTCAGTTGAATTTTCCAACTCTTCGTCGACGTGCCAGCAGCGGCGATTTGCAAGAAACAGCGTCAGGTTCCAGCAGTTTAGATGACTTAAGTGGCAATGGTTCAGGGATGAGATTGTACAGGAGCTCTAGCTTTGGAAACATCAAGGATCTTAGCAACGAAAACCTGGCAGGTCCATCAAGGGACGTTTCAGAGGGTGGCTTTTTCGGTCGTCTGAGGCGCACCCCGAGTATAGGGAGCCTTACAAATCTGGTGCAAAGGAGCAATTTAACCGCTACCTTACCAGGTACACTAGGGCTCCGCTCAACAAGTTTGGAATCACTTCCAGTTTTTAAACCTGGAGAATCACCCCCATCACCTTCAAAGTTTGACCAAGATGGGACAAGTTTCTTTGGTCGCGGTCTCTCTACCAATAACGCTCCTTCGGCCAGTGTGGACACCTTAGCTGGGGCCTCTGGTAAGAGTGGCTTCGGAATAGGGACGCGCTTGAGTGGCTTGGCTGGGCTCCGAGGATTTTGGAGCCAGGGGGGGAGTAAAAGTCTTGAGATGCCTTCTCCCCCTATGGAGTCACTCCCGCTACAACCCAAGAGCGAAGAACGACTGGAGAAAATCAACAGTGCGTTTGCATTTGAGGACTTCGGTGGACTTGGTTTAATGTCTTTCTTTGGACGAAAGTCTCGAGATAATAGATAACTAATTCAACTTTGGAAGGACGGAATAACATTTTGTATTGTCATTCTTGTAAAAAATTATTGTGAATGTTTGACAACAGTGGAATTGCCATTTGCTGTGCAAGCTATTTTGTCGGTACCCACTGAAATACTTGAAGACTCTTGATCGAAAACGAGAAGGGAACTGGGGCCGGAGTGCGTCCTGCAAGTGTTTCTGGGATGGTTACTGGAGACGCGCCAATTGCGCCAATTTTTGCCTTTCCTTAGTAACAATCCCAGAAGTCTTTGCAAAATTTACTCGGCCCAGTTCCCTTAGAAAACATCAGGAATGAAAAACGATCCCTGACCGGAGGTAACCAGGTAGTGATTTAGGATCAATTTAGGTTTCTGGAAACTGCCCACCTGCCCCTCCCCTAAGTCAACATATTGCCTTAAATGAGAAGTACGTGTTGATGTTGGCTTAAGGGAGGGTTAGGTGGGCAGTTTCCCAGAAACCTAAATTGATCCGTGATTTACAAGCGTGGCCGAGGGGCTGCCTTGAATCAAATGCATACTCACATCCGTTCACTCGTCCACGCTTCCGCGCCTCATTACGTGAACGATATAGAATATTGAACCGTGTTGCCGTCCAGAATAGCCTGAATTTCAGCCGCCTCCTCCGCTTGATAAGTCACTCGTTGAGAGATGCTCTCTGAAATTCAAGCGTCGGTCCAAAATTGTCGTGTAATAAAAATTAGACTGGCCTCTCGCCCTTCACGGGGTCTCCTGTCTTTCCTTTCGTTTTGAGCGAGACTGAGAAAGAGACGGGGGAGGGGTTGCAACTAAATAACATCCACCTACGGTAGGTCAGACTCCTTATAACGGGTATATGAAGCATCATTCTCGTCGTTTCTGAACCTTAATAACTAAACTTCACTGCAATCTAATGCTGCTTTCTGTAGGCGTCGTAGGGTGTCTGTTGCTTTGACTTAAGCCTGATTTAGTAACAGAAGGGGGACCTCAGTTGACGACGGCGCGCGCAAATCTTGACCAATGGCGTCACCGGTAAAGCGGCAAATTGGGCACTGGAAATCGAGTTTAGTCCTTTCCGCGCGGTTTCCCGTCGTCAAATGACGTTCCCGTTTTGTTGCAAAATCAGGCTTTTATCAAGAGGGAGACGGGAACGGAAACGGGAGGAAGAGAGACCCTGGAAACGAGGCTGCCCCTGTCCATGCGGTAGCCTTTCTTCAGTATTGAGTGACTGCCCAAATATGGGCTGCATAGGAGTTAAGGTCACGCTCAGCTCACCTTTTCTCTGCGTGACTGAATGAAGCGTTAGGTTAGTTAAAAATAACAGTTTCTTACTTCGAAGTTGGTATCTAATGTTAAAATCGAAGGAGATAAATCTTAAGTATTTAAAATTTAGTGGGTATATTTTGTTATAACTATATTGAAGAACATATATATATCAGTGCGGATAGCAGAACCATATTTTTTATAGGATTTATGTTTTTCATTGTAGAAGGGGTATTTCCCTAAATCCAATTAAACTGTACAAATTCTTTGACAGAGAGAATTCGGTTATATTCTGGTTCAACGTTTTCGATGCACAGCTTCCCGCGACTCGCAACTCGTGCAATTATGTAACATTTTAGTCAGGCCATGGCTTTGTTAACTGATGTAACCCGAGGGAAGCCCGAGGGTCTCCTGGTGCCAAGACTCCAGAGGCCAAAACTACCCTGAAGCACTAGGCACGAGAGTTAAGTTTGGTAAAGTAACAAAACAAGTAATAAATTGAATGCTGCTTGTGAGGTTCATATTTACTGGTGAATTTTTTACAGAGAAGCAAATTTCTGAGGTTGGTTATTCCGTGTAATGCGTGATATGGGCTTATTATTTGAAATTGCGGCATGAACTATATGTAAATGAATGTGTAATCCGGCTAATCATCCATGCCAGAATTGAAATATGGAACAAAAACTAACTACTAGAATTTTGTTTTGGATGGAATTGTAAATAGCTAAGTACTGTATAAATAAACCACCGCCATAAACAGGGCCGTCCATGAGCAACTGTCATACATTGTAGTGTCACAATATATGTATACTGTGTTTGTTAAGCTACATGCAAACGGACGCAACAACCGCCAACAATGTTGGGTGTAGTTGGCCAACAATGTTGCGTCCGGTTGTTTGCACGGGGCTTTAGATAAAAGCAACCACTGACTCGTCCCCAGTCTTCTCTTTTTGGATCGCACGCGCGACCGAAGGGAGCGCGACGAGTGATGGGAAGGAGGAAAACAAAACGGAGAGACCCCTCGCACTCCCTTTGAATGTAGCCTCCCACGCAGGCGTTTTTAGGGGAGCTCGGTTTTCATCCCTCCCCACAAACGCCTGCTTAACCGAAAACAACATTCCTTTCCCATTGTTTTATTTGCGTGGTAAGTGGCCAATCAACAGTTGTGCAATTAAGTGTTGACAGGCTAAACGCGACTAAAACGTGACCCTAGAGTTACCGTTTTCCTTCTTTTCTTTCCTTCGCTAAGGTTATGCAGTGCATGGAGTATTCTAAAATTTGACTAAATCTTATTTTTGCCGCTCTGAATCTGACATTTATTGGAGGTCAGAAATCTTTCCCAGTGTTTCTTGCAGATCGAGTAATTATCAGTTTACCCTGCAGTCAAGGTCAACTTTCCAGAATTTGGAAAGTACAATGTGATTGGCTAAGCATGGGAAAGGAATGTTGTCTTCGGTTGAGCAAGCGTTTGTGGGGAGGGATGAAAAACGAGCTCCCCTAAAAACGCCTGCGTGGGAGGCTACCTTGAATGCGCCTCTCTCGTTAATATTAATAGCAGACTGAGAGACGAGTGGGGACGAGTCAGAAGCAACCACGCTCTAATGCGTGCTCCGTCAATAAGCTCCCATCCCCTGGCTTGGCTAGACTAGCAATGTGCGTTCCCCTCCCGCTAATTCTTTAATTATATGGATATCTTTCTCTCTCTTTTAAGCTTTCTGTTAAACTACACTTGCTTCAGTGGGCCATTTCCGAGTAGACTTGAGCCTCTGTTTCATAGCGAGGCTAAGTGCAAAGCCGTTGAGATGAAAATCATTTTTATTCTCATGCACATAAAACTCTTTAGATTTTGCACTTAGCCTCGACGGGCCTGTGAGACAATGCCAGGAATTCTGTCGAAAAAATCGCTAATATAGGCCGCATAGATGATAATCGATGATCACCCGAACATGGCGTCGTCTCCATACTTCGTGACGCGCCCGTCGGTCTCGTTCCGAAAATTTTCGTAAAAGCGAACAAATCGACCAATCAACCTATATATTTTTCAGGCTGTACAACATATCATATCGATTTTCAAGTGACATATAAATATTTATTATATATATATACTGAGAAATACTCACCAAAAAGCTATGTCGTAAATTTTCGTACGCAAATTAGTGCTAGCCAATCAGAGAAGCGAACGATGGTATTCACATGTGAAAGAAAATGACACGTCCAATCAGAATCGCGAACGATGTTTTTTCACGTGTGAGAAAAATGATACGTCCAATCAGAAGCCACAGAGGTGTGCGAGTTTCGCGCCAAAATTCCCGCCTTTTATTGCAGCTTGCAGCGCCGCTTCGTACACATTCAACGTGAAAAGGTTTTACTCAATGAGTTTTTCTCGCCAAAAAAGTGAAAAACATTTCGGAAATGGAGTGGAATAGTTTCGTTTGTTTCACTGTCGATAAAGAAAAC